CAGAAGCTGTCCTGAGACGGGCATATTCTGTTTCTGACCCTTCTCTTAATGGTCTCTCTCTTCCTGTGGTAGACAGAACGTTCTCATAACCATCATCATTGGAGCTCAGAGAGGGTCTCCGATAGGGCAGGTGATTAATGACAGTGTAGCTCACTTCTTCAAAACCACTGCCGTTCTCATTTTCCTGCCAAGAAAAAAAAAGAGATCAAGGATCCAGAATCATCCATCAGGTTTTAACTCAGTGACCCACGCCTCCTTTCTTCTTGTCTGATGGTGATCTTACACCTCAAGTGTTCAAAGCCTGTTCTCCAAGCCTCTTAAAGACCTTATTTTAGCAACATGAACTGTACTCCAAACTACTACGCATTCTGCTTTCATTTCACCTCAGGATAATAAAAGAGGAAAAAAAGTCACTGTTGTCTCCCTGACTACCTAGAGAAAAGCAGTCGTATATTTTAGGTCACACATATTGAGATGCAATATATGCAGCAATCAGATCTCAGTAAGTAAGTATTCAAGTTACATAGCAATGCATTTTCATAGGATAAAATGCAATTAATAAAATTTACAGTTTAAATACATTGTCAGTTGCATAGACCCATCAAAGAAAATTTAAAACATGAATACTACATGTTAATTAAATCAGTACAATGCTTATGTATTAAAAATAATAGACATTTTAATATGTTTATTGATATTCACAATGTCTATAAATATAAACGCTAATTCCTGGATATACGGATTAAAGAGGAATGTGAAAAGATAAAAAGAACTGATGCTTTCACATTATAGCTGTGAATTTGATTTCATTTATTTTTGTTACAAGGTTTTTGAAAATTAAAATAATAGATTTCAGTAGACTTGGGACAAGAATAAGAATTTACAGATTACCTAAATCTGTTAAAATATTTCAATATTTTAATTTCCGTTTATGTCTGCATTAAAATGAACAAGAATATTATTTAAAATATGAAAAATTTGACAAATCCATTCAGAAGTCACAAGTAAAGGAAGAGCTACAACTAGGCTTATATGAAGTTGTCTGTATTTTGACATTTATTAGACAAATGTAATAATTTTTTTATTACCTGATTAGAAGTGGATGGGACATCTTTACCTGGAGGATAAAAAATAAAAAGGATAAATTGGGAGTTCGAGATTTGCAGATACTAACTAATATATAAAAAAAATAGATAAACAGTAAGTTTATATTGTATAGCACAGGGAACTATATTTAATATCTTGTAGTAACTTATGGTGAAAGAGAATATGAAAATTAATATATGTATGTTCCTATATGACTGAAGTATTGTGCTGTACACCAGAAATTGACACAACATTGTAAACTGAGTATACGTCAATAAAAAAATATATATATATATATATAAAGAAAAGCAACCTAAGAGTTTTAGAACTTCACAGGCTGGTGGTAAGGAGATGGTGAAAGAATAAAATACAGTGATAAAACTTCATCTAAACATCTGACGTGATTCCATGTTATTACTACAGTTCTCAAGGTTATATGACAAAATC